CCTCAAAAGACATGCCGTTTTTCCAACGCGGAATTCATATACTGCCAGAAAGATGGGAGAAAGTGGTCTCTAGTGATGGGCAATACTTTCAATAAAACGTTTTTGTTCCTTATATTTTAAATAAAGTTTTTATTTTGTAAAAAACAGCGAGAACTTATTCAAGGTCTTAATATTATATAAATAAATAGCATTACACATATTTAACAACAACTCCAACAATAATATTGGGAGAAAATCACTAAAGGAAACTTAAAAACTACAATAATTTTAATATTTGAAAATATAAATAAAAATAAAATAATTTTTTATAGCGTATTCGCAGAGGTTTCTACTACAATTTATATTTATAGATATTTCTACAATTGTCATAATAAAAAAAGGACATTTAAATACAGGTTTGGAAACGCTCTATTATAAATGAGTTACAATCAATCAAAGATTTTTTTCTTTTATTAGCTAAGAGATAAAAAAATATGGACTGCACTTACACGAACACAACATATAAATATAAATTAATAGTTTTAAATATTCTTTTGTATAAAGAATTTACAAATTAAGTCTTAGTATCGGTCACTGAATACTTTAAGAAAAATTCCTATGAAATATTGTAAAAGAATGTCAAAAAGTATAACTTCTCCATAGTTTTGTGGAAAAAAAGATAGAAAAGAATGCAGAATAAAAAGAAATGTTTTTGCAAATTCAGTAAAACATTTAAATTGAAACAAATTCATATAAAAGAATTTATCTATAACTCAAAACAAGAATAACTAAGTTATATTTTCAATAAAAAAGAAACAATATAAAACCATAACCCTTAATAAAGTTAATTTATGCCTAAATCAGTTTACCGACATTTATTTATTATAATAAAAAAAGATGAATTAATTAAAACATTGCAAGAAGAAAAAAATATTAGTTATTTTACAAATAAATAATGTGCATGCATTTTTATTTTTATTTCAAGGGAATTCACTTTTTCTATGGACTTGTGCTTTCTTAAGAATTGAAAACGTTATTTCATTGATTTTGAAAGTAGCATAAGTCCAATCATAGCCATCAAAAACATATTATTTCTTAAATAATGGTAATTATGCTAATAAGGATGATAAATTTGGCACTCTGACGTAATCCAAAAATATTATACTACTATGTCATCTGTTATCTATATCTTTTAATTGAATTCAACGCAAACCCTTTGATATCTTGATTCGAACATAAATGGACTTACGCCACTTTCAAAATAAACGGATCATTTAAAAATCTTAATAAAAATCTCTCGGAACATTTTATATAAAATATGTATATCTATTGTAGGAGAATATATTTCTTGAGCGAAAAACGTAAAACGTGCAATTAGGTCTTTGCACATTTTTCCTTTCCATCGTAGAAATCGTACTACGTCTCGCTTTTGTCAAACCGGGCAAAAACATTCCTCTCATAATTTAATCGACGTGCTGTCGACACTGGCCACTGGCTTGTGTGAGCAGCGTGCCAGGTAGGGAACTCTCGGCTTTCCTTCCGGAACTTCACGTTCCGTCTTCCATAAAAGGTAGTGTTTGTTGTGAAAGTCGATGCCCTATAATCCCTTACCTTCGTATATAGTAGGACAAAAATATAGTGATAATAAAGTCCCCCCTTTAGTTTATCATTTCTTGCTAAAATTTGATTCATCACTGTTGGAAAATTTTTATTTACTATACAAATAAATTAATAAGGTTATCTATAATAAAAGGTGAAAGTATAAGAAATACAATTTAAAAGGTTATTCTGACCAAATGACATAAGAATAAAAGTATTTTCATGAATTTGTTCTTTTAATAAAAACGATGAATCTTGCTTTGAAATTTCTTTTTTATCCCTATGTGTGTGTTATTATAGTTTTAAACAATAAAAGTTAAATTTACAACAAATAAAAATATTGTAAATACAACTGTCTTTTAATATGAAGTTTCTGAGAAACTTCCTACAACTCAAGTAAACGATCTCTTCAGTTTTACTGGTCTAACAAGAAAAATTTGAGTTACTTTACAATTATCGTTAAACAATAGTAAAAAATAATAAATATCAATAAAAAAATAAGAAACTTTTAGCACGAATTATTTTTTCAATTTTTAACGTAATTTTTTTTATATAAGTCTTACTATGTAATTATACAAAATAACGTGTAACAATTTGCATGAATACGTATATAGTAAATTAATTTATTTAATAAGCACATTAATCATGTAATATACTTTCTATTTTAAGCAGAATGTTTAAATATTCCAATTAATGAAAACTTTACAAACCAAAGTAAACAGAAGAAAAGAATAATTGGGATTGTTATATAGAAGATTAACAATGATTTTAAATTAAATAAATTTCATAATATAATAAATTTTATTTCATAAATTAAATTAAAAAGAAAAACTTTATTCTTATTGAGAATCGAGCATATTTCATTTCTTGGTATTGTTCGATAATATTTCTAATTTTTTATTTAGTAAATCTTTTAAACCTAATCTCGTATCTCTTTTAGTAATCTTAATAATACTGTATAACGTATAAAAACAGTTTTATGGATTGGTAATTACTTTCAAAATGAAAATCACAAAAATACGAAATGTTTACCGCATTTATTTAAATTTTAATCATTTTAAGGTTTGATAGATTTTTGGATAAATTGATCCAATTGTAATCCAAAGTTTACCTTAGAAAAACGAAGTTTCCTTATCGTGAGTTGAATCTGAACGATGATAACATAAGCAAATAATATTTTTTCATTCATCGATAATGCTGAATAAAGAACTTTTATTTACGAAACAATGTCATTTAATAAACAGCTTAAACGAGTACACACATTTTTTTGTCATTACGCAAAACTCGTTAATTTTTGTAATTCTTCTCGTGTCCTTGATTACGAAAAAAAGCATAAAATTCTCGATTAGAATTCGATCGTTGTTGTTTAACACACGAATTCCTGAGGAAAGAAATTACAAAGCCGTTAAACGTGCCAAGAAAGATATTCAAGCAACCTCTCGTGCCATTGAAAGCATTCGACGAATTTAAATGACGCGTATTATAACGGACTTCGAACGTCGACGACGCATAGTCGTCCGACTTTCTTGCTAACGTTCTTGAACTAACTGGACCTTGTTTTATTTCAGGAACCATTAAGACAACCTTACTTTCCGGAAGTAACTTCAACATCACGTGGCACCTATCTTATCCTCACAGGGTAAGTTTAAAATTCGATTATTATTACCATCAATTACAATGAATTAAAAAAGAATACGCTTTATCTTTAAAATACAAAAAGAAATACTTTTCGTTAGAACAAATAACATATTCTTAAAACATTGACTACCAAAGTAAATTCATTTAATACTTCTTATAATATTTTATAGATAAAGGATACAGAAAAATTTGTTATTGTACTTTTTACATTACACTTTACTCGTTCTATTAGGAATATATAAATATCTTTTATTCTCCTAATGTATTTTAGAGTTTTCCCTTAGTTCAATGACACTAAGGAACAATTCTTAATCATACTTTTTACATTTGATTTTTTTGGTTAATCTTTTAAATCAAACATAAAACATTTTCAAAGTGGGTTAAATAAAATCTGCAAAATTGATGCCAGTCATCAGTAAATCCATAGGATTAAACATAATGAAAATTAATTATAAACAAATTTTTACAAAATTACAATCGATTATTTGTAGGAATATCATATCGAAAATGTTAGTAACCATTTTTTCAATAAAATTCGATAAGAATATCTTTAAATAGGATATAGCAGTTATAGGTTGCTTAAGAAAAGAAATAGAAGTTATTCAGTTTTATTAAGGAGATGGTTATTTTTATGAATCACTATACCTACATAAGACTTTTTGAATTCTTAGTAATATAATAATTTACACAACCGATCACGATATAGGAGGAATTGTTCGTTACACATTTATCTATATTAACTCTTACCATATCTTTTATAAAAAGTAACGAAGCACAAAAAACTCGTGAAAAATCGAAACGTTAACCGTTACGCGAGGAATCTGATAGAATCATATCCGCATAGTATTTTTTCACTACGATACTTTCTCTCAGTTCGTGCTAGGTTTTGCAGGTGCATCATTAAAACTAAGAAACCAAGGAAAGCGTTTGAATCGTGTTCGACATTGACCGCGGATTAAATCGATTCAATTCTGATCATTTTGCTATTGTTTTCAATTATAAGCTTCAATATTAAATACTTTTAATAACTGTACATAAAGTATATCGTATAAAAACATTAGGTTATAATATATTTTAAACAATTTGAAAATAGAAATCGATTAAAAGACCAAAGTCAAATGTTTCATAATTGTAAGTGTTGATACTTAAATGTTATAAAAAGGCAAGTAATTATTTACTCTCAAACCAGAGTAATAAATAATATAATATCAAGGCCTGAATTAATTTCTACATCTAATAAATGGCAGATAAAAAATATGGAATTTATTGAATTGAATCTTGCTATTTTTATGAAAGAATACGTGAATTTATTTTATTGTTGCTATCCTTCTGCTATGATTTTCAATATTTTTATTTTTATTCAATATATTTCTCCATTATTCCATCGATACTTGGTGAAGGACTATTTGAAAATAAACAAATAAAAATATACCAATACCTATAAGAATGTAACAATTTTATATTTTTAATACCTTTCTTTTATCCGAGCAGTCTTTAAAAATAATAGATATAAAAATTTAAAAAATCAGCTAAGCACAGATTTAGTCACTGCCATTGCAAAAATTATACAAAAATATTTAAATATTGGCTCATAAGTGATCGAGTATTTTTGGGACAAAGTCGAGAAAAGTTGTTTGGAGAAAAACACGTTTAAAGTCTTTGTCATGTTTTTCTTGATAGAAAGTTATGTTTTCCCTAAAATATTGATACTCATATAAATATGACAATTCTTCATTGGCATCTCCATCTGTCATCCTTGTTTATTTTTGGTATATTCACAATAGAATTTTGTTATATTTACTATAACTAACTGTTAGATCGTAACATTTCATTTATTATCTAACCAATCGCAACAACCTGGTCTCACTTAACTGTAACTCACAATCAGTTAATTTTCGGAATTTGAACTTAAAATTTTACCTATATACTTTTGAATATGTATATTTCGAAGAAATTAAAAAAATAAAATTTGTTTAAATTATCACAGTGGCGTACCCTCTTAAACGAAACATTCAAATGTGGTTGTTAACAGGAATAAGATTCTATAACGTGTATAATAACTTAATTCTTGAACACATTCATCCACAACAAAAACAGTTGTTCGCCTAGAAACAACTTCCTTCAGTTTATGACGACTTAGGTCAACTCGCGATAGATACAAACAAAACACTTACTATTAATAAGTTTTTCAAATCAAATTTGTGTTTTTTATGAAAGGTTATATAAATATGTAATATTGTATTAAGTGTATAATTTGATATTATAAATATAAATTGTATAAATGTTAGAATTATTTGTAATATTCTAATTTTTAAATTCAATAATGAACATTTTATAATCTTTATTTAATGTTATAAATCTGTTATTTTTATCACAAATGGCAAGTCCTAAAATAATCATAATAAACAGATTCCATTATATAACATTTTTAAAAATTTGGTAGACTGAAATTACCGTATATTATTTAATAAATATAACTGATACTGTGTGTGGTATTCACATAAACTCGCAAGTAAAGTTTTCTCTTAAATGAATTACTTTTCTTATTTTAACTTAATGGAACAGATATCATTCTATAGCCCATTAAAAATTGAATGCAGTCCAATATTAAGATACAACACATAGATTAAAAAGTAAGCTGATTTATCCTATATAAATTTGATAACGATATAGTTTTCAATAATAATTCCAATGCTATTATTATTTAAATAATAAATTAAAATATGGAAGAAATAATCACGACTTATAGCTTGAAAAACACTGATTTATTTTATATGAATTTAATAACGATATAAGCTTTTCTATAATGTTTCTAATAATAATTAGTATATTTAAATAATAAATTAGTAAGAAATAGGGAAAAAAAGACGTAAAAAGATCCCAAAGAAATGGAATTGGACACTCCGATGAAAGATCTCTCTGTTCAATTTGTTGCATGCAAACATTCACGCTATTCGCCATCGAGTTTAAATATATTCTCTTTTTCTTCACTAGCGCATTTAACATGTATAGTACAATTATACACAGGACCGACTCTAATGTGAGCCAGCTAATCGTCGTGAAAGCGCGCATTTCGAATTCTCTCGCGACCGTAACGCGTAACGTTATCGAAAAGAAATAAGACTAGAATAGTTTATTTCTCCCCATATTGTAAATCATTACTGCTTTTTGTATATCCAAAGTATAGAAAAGTACTTAACTAAAAAACAAAATATACTGATTTAAGGATGACTCGGTTTAAAAACAAAATTAAGAATATTCTATTATTAATTTGCAAATCTACCTCGTTTTGTGTTATCTTTTTTTTTCTTTTTTATCACGAAAACGATGCGATCCATTGATGCGTACCTCATGAACTTTTTTCCCCGGTTGTTTGGCGAACATGGAAATGGTATAAATTCTCCGTCTTTTCAAATTAATTGTTATCCCACGTAATATGATTTGAGAAAAGACGGTGATCGAAGAGCCAAAAAAAAGACAAAATTTAATTTAACTATTTTAGGATTTTGTAAAAATTATTATTATATTTATTTATCTATTTATTGGATATAAATATTTTCGTTTAATTTTCGATATTTTTAACTTTTAGCCATATCAGTTTAGGTATATGCATACATACAGATATAGATAATTTTTAATTTTTTGTATTTTATTATTACATATCCTCTGTACTACTGCCACATACATTGTTATATATAATTTTTTATAATTATTTTATTTCTTCTTAAAGCTAATTTTAAGATCTTACAATTAATTACACAAATGTAATTGGCATATTCTTTTGGAACCACCATGTGTCAGAAATTTAAAAAATATAAATAAATTTTCCTTATTTATTTCAAATATTCAAGAAACAAGAATATATAAAATTTGTATACAATGTGTCAGGAAGACTTCTAGGTAATATTATATAGCATCATCATATTATATACCATCTGTGTTTAATCACATTTTATTCTTTTTCTCTTTCTGTTTCTATGTTGAATTTCGTAATAAACATACACACACACATTATAATATTGTGTTAGATTAATAAAGATTCTTTCATATCAATATAATCGTGAATAAATTGAACTTCTTTCTCATGTTTATTCAATAGTCAGTGTATGTAAGACACGAATCCAGTTTTCTCATGATTATAAAAAATCTTAATCTTAGTATCTCATAGATATTAAAGAAAAAAAAAATAAATAAACAAATCTTTCAAATAAAATAAATAATCTTAAATACACAATTCAAAGATGATCTTACTTGCACATAAAACATCAATCGAATCAACCTTTGAATAATCCTAAGCCTTTATGATCCTTTCCCACCGTATATAGAAGATACAATGTTAATGATAATGACACCATAATAATAACAATGAAAGAAAAAAAATATAAACCGAATTGGGTGGCAGGGGAGTGATAGATAGAAACTATGAGTGATAGATAGAAAAGAACTACAGAGTCAGCCTACGACGACGACAACGAGTGCTCGTCGTTCAAGGTAACGCACGATGAATAATTCAGAAGCTAAGTTTTGCTGGTATGTGACATCCGTATATACTGTACATACACATATACATTCTCGTATAGTATTGTATGTACTATTTATGTACTATGTAGGTAGGTAGGCACGTAGGTAGGTTGGTTGGTTAGCTGAAAAGGAGGTAGAGAAAAGACGGCTTTCTGTTAGTTAAATATGACCCTCTGTATATGTTCGTGTGTGTATATATTTCTACACATAAATACAAGGCATCCGTTTCGGTGGTCGACAGGTATGTCGAATACCGTAAAGTTGAATATCGTCGTTAACTCGTATTACCAAACGAATACATATATACTAAAGGTGACAACGTCTTTACTCGTATTCCAAGTCTTCTTAGTGTTTTTATTTTTACCTATTCCCTGATGATCTTACGGAATGTTGACCCGACGAAAATTCTTTTGGGATTGCCTCGGCATTCTTAATGCTATTCGACTGTTTATATTTAAGGTTTGTTAACAAGATGAAACACAAAATCTATATTATTTTTATAATAATAATGGATATTAATGATTGCGTATTGTTAGGTATTTTTAATGATTATAGTAATATGGTTATTTAAATTATCGTTACTTTTAAAAGAAATTTTGTATGATTTATTTTATATTTGTTAAAATTATTTGTTTTTATTTATACATCGTTATTATAATAATTGGTAATAAGCAATAATTGTATGTTATTCAGTCTTTAATCGTTACTTTTTACATATTCTATGCACTTGTAAAATCATAGTTCTAGCATTTAGTTACATGTTTACTTTGAAAATAACCTAACTAAAAGAAAAGAGATCATGCAAATTTGTAGCAACCACAAGTGAAATATTTCCAGCGGAAAAATTGAGATAACCTACTGACTGATATGAAAGTAGTCTTATACATTCATATAGTGATTTAATAATAATATACCACGCCTTGTTATTATCAGTTATTGTATTATTTATCAGCTATTATTATACAAAAGTATGTTACATTTCATTATAGTTATTTTAATAATTGGATAAAAAAATATTGAAAATGTTTGAAAATCGTTTACATCAAAATTTAAATCAACACTCTCTCTCCCCCCTCTCTCTCTCTCTCTCTTTCTCTATCAAATGCTATAAAGACCAGAATAGTGTAACAACTTGCATAAATTTTATATTTAAATAATAACCTAAATTACTTGCATATTCAAACACGATTATGTTCGGGATCGGTTAAGAATATCCCACATAACATAAAAACTTTCTAAAATCTTTCTAAAACATTTTTTGGAAAGCTTTAAGTCTTTCAAAAAGGTTTCTAAAAAATCTTTCTACAAGGTGAAAATGTCCGCGTTCAGAAACTTGCAAAAGATTTCTAAAAAGGTTTTTTAAAGATTTTTAAAAATCTTATCACCATATTTTGCGAAAGGTTTCTAGAAAACATTTTTAAAATTTTTTCAAAAAAGACAATTGAGAGCTTCTCCAGCCAGGGTTCACCGACCAAATCCTTCTCACGAATGACCGATTTTTTTTTTTCGTGGCGTTGTAAGACTGTGGAACATATTACGAAACAGACCCTCCATCCCGGCTGAGCCTCCTGTGTGGGATTCGTGAAAAAAATTGGACCGCTGATTGACTGGACCGACGGGATTCGAGAACCACGGATCTTTCGCTTTCCGGGTGCGACTGCTCTTTAACCAATTGAGCTATTCAGGGCTACCGATAAATACTTCTTACGAATGTCTCATAAGTTTGGCATAGAGGCGCTCGTCGCACAAAAGGTTTTTGGAAGATTTTCTGAAACATTATCGTCATGTTTTGTTAAGGCCGGCGATACAAGTAAAATAAAAAAAAATCGAATTTTTTTTTTTCATAAATAGTTAGTTTAATATCTCAAAAATATGCCCGTAAATTTTTAGAATAAAATTCGCTATAAGTATCGATTAAAAATTCATTTAAGTACTCCGCCTCAACTCGGTGCTAGACGCGAACACTAAACTTTGAACGCGTTTTTCTCAAAACGACTTTTTTAAAACTGACATGCAAGATAACTAAAAAAGTTCTCAACCGATTCTTATGAACTTTAGCACAGATTTTATTTATAGTATTAGCTTCTAGTTGAATTTTAAGAATGCTACCAAAATTTTCAAAAATTGCCATTTTTGACTCAAAAACCGTCGGAAGAAATGGTCAAAAATCGGACTTTTTTGTCTTAGTCGTGCCAATTTACGATTTTTTGACTTTTTAGTTCTTTCTTAGTTCAACTAGAAGATACATGTTTTATTAACACGCTTCAACCCTTTTTTTTTTATTTCAAATTACTGTAACCGAAGCTAAAAATCACGCTGATTGATGCGTTTCGCCGCGAGGGCCTCAGGAGATTGGTTATTACAGCGGCTATTTTAAAAAAAAATTTTTTTAAAATCGGATTCTTATATTTTAATATGTAATGAATAAACATGCTAAGTTTCAAAACGGTTCATTTATTCCTTCCATTTTAAATAAGCCTCTGAAAAACGGTCAAAATTTAGACGTTTACATGTATCGCCAGCCTTAAAGGTTTCTATAAATATGTTTGAAATGTTTTTGACATATTTTTTATAATATTCTTACAAAATTTCTTGAAATATTTTTATAAAATCTTTTTACAAGGTTTCTGCAAGGTTTCATAGAAATATTTTTAAACATTTTAATTACTCTATCAGCAAAATATTTTAGAAATGTTTTTAAAATATTTTTGTAAAATCTTTTATGAATCTTTTTCAAAATTTTTTAGAATGATGCCTGCAAGGTTTCTGAAAGATTTTTTGGAAATATTTTACGAAAACTTTCGCTGAAAGATTTCAAAACCTTTCGTGTTATGTAGGATGTTGTAATCTGTAAAATGTATGAAATTCAACATTTTTAAAATTAAAAAATTTTTTCATCAATTCATTATTGATATAAAATGTTGATTTTAATACAGATTGTAAAGTATTTACGATTGTTCTATTGTCAAATTGGATTTTGATTAACTCAGGTAAAAATGTAAGTTGGATTATATTTATTTGAAGTTAAAACATAGGTAAATACATAGATGAATGAGTACGTTCTACCTACACCTCGAAGGTAACTTCTATGTAAGAACAAAGAGCCACACGATGACCGCACAATAATCCATTGACTCGTGCATCGAAAGGTGCAGTACGCGTGGGATCAAATTACATAACAAATCGGTGACAGGATCTACCTTGAACAGTAAATCTGTTAGGGATTATATATAATACATTAGTATATAGATAAAGGAAATCTTACTATGAGACACAAGACTTTTATACAATTTGAAAATTTTTGAGAAAATTTTATATTATGCTACTTTAAATATATGGTTTCGATAGAATATATCAAATCAGAACATTTTTATATGACAGTGAAGATAAAAATTAGAAATAATTTTTGTAATTACTAGTATTAATATTACATATACTAGTAATTATGACATTGTACTAATTTAAGCAAAAAAAATTGAGTAAATTTATTTTATGATTTATATTATAAATAATATAAATTATTGTAATATAAAATAAATCACAATATATATATTTTTTATTTTTTTACTTATTGTTAATCCATTATTATTATTACCAGCATGTGTATCATTTGATTTTTATCATTATTTTGAATTGAAATGTTATGAAAAGAATAGAATAAAATTTGTAGTCGTGTTAATTTACTCAAAATGTCAAATATTTTAAATTATAACAAACTTTTCAAAAGTATGAAGTGTTTTTCTTAGTTTTTGAAGCAAAATCTTAAATTTTATATGTATGGAGAATACCATTTTGTATTTATTGAATAATAATATTTTTCTCCCATATAACACGTTCTCTCACGATAAGGATTACGGTGTTAAATGGAATAATTTATATATAGCTATATGCAAAAGATAATGAGAATTATGATTATTTCCTCTTGTTTTATTCCAGGGAGGATTTCGGCTTCAAATACTTGATAGCCTCGACAGACCTTTGGTCGATTTAACACCAGTAACACAACACAGCGAATTTGTTGAAGACGATGCAACGTGAGTTTTGTCAAAACATTCTAACAAGATATCTTTCATTATCTTATAAATATCCTTGTATTGCAATTTTGCAGAGCTCAAAGTTATCACGTTCAGTTACCTCAAAACTTTACCTGCATCGACTGCACTATCAGACTCCTTCGAAAAGCTGAGGAATGGGGTTTTAGTTACAGGTTCTGGTCATGTGCAGATATCGACGTAAGTTTGATGAAAATAGTATTCAATTCGTTATACTAGTAAATGATCAATGCTATAAAAAGGGTTTTTAATAACAACAAAATACCGCTTACTGCTTTCTAAAATTTAAGAGGTTATTCTGGTCTAGAAGCCTTAATTTTAGGCATTTTCAAACTAAGATAAAAAAAAAATGAAAAACATTTTTACTATCCATTTTTTATATGATGTTTATTAACATTTTAAGAATACAAAAAAAAATCGTGAAAAAAAATAAAAAATTCGTAGAAATACAGGCCGGTGAAGTGGGGGCTACAAAAAAAACAGTGCACTCTGGTTGACATGATTCCAATCCTTGTAGTTATCTGAAACACAAAAATTCGGAAAATTCTTAATCAGTAAAGATGTTGCTATTTTTGGCTTAGCCAAAAAAAAAAATTCACAAAATGGCGTCGATATGAAAAAAAAATTTTTTTGACCCCTTTTTTTGACCTTCTTGAATTTTTTAAAAATATTAAAAATTAAAATTTTTCAAAATTCAAAGGGTCATCCGATAGAGAGATGTATAAAGAAGATTCCCAACAAATTTCAAAGGAATCGGTTGAGTAGAACTTGAGATATCATGTCAACCACCTCGAAAAAAGTAGTTTCGAGAAAAACACGTTCAAAGTTTCGTGTAATAAGGGTAGGATATAGGATGCGGCGTCACTAAAACAGCTATATCTCCCAAAATAATGTGAATTTTGAAAAATCCGTTTAAAGAAATATGCTTAAGTGTCTAAACTTTGAAAATATGAAAAAAAAATCGATTTTTTTCAAATTTCTAGACCATAATACCCCCTTAATCATTTATAAATTATAATAAACTTCATATAACACGAATTTTTGCAGCACGAATTCTTATAACGTTTCAAAGATTTGGTGAATATTTTTTTGGTTTCCGTATAACACGATTTCTCGTACAATACTTAAAATAATAAAATATAGAAATTTCTCTCATTTAAAAATTATATTATCTTTAATTAAGCATTCTTTATGATATAACCTGATACAGGCTATCTCCAAAATCTCTCTACCGAAAAAAGATAAATAAAAATAAAAAATCAATATTAGTTTATTAATATAATAGAATATAATATTATATTTAATATTTAATATTTATTATATTATATATAATATTATATTCTATTAATATATTATATTAATAATATATAATATATTAATAGAATATTGTATTTTTCACTTCAAGGTATAAATCTCTATTTAGGTTAGTGTTATTAAAAAAGTATAAATTATAATTTTCAATTCACTAAAAATGACTTTTGCGACATTCTCTGCATATTTACGTGTGTTCATCATTTACTAATAACTTGCCCATGATATTTTGAGAAAGTTGTTTTTAAATAAATCCTTTCAATAGTATGATTTACATATCGTTCTAAACCTTTTTATAATGAATGTTGATGGAAAACAAAAACAAAAAAAATACATAAAAATTATAACGAAGTTTCTTTGAATTTTTCTGTAGATACTTGATAAAAAGATCTACAGGGAAGACTGCAGCGGTCACGGCAGATACCTTCTGGGTAGATGTAGATGCGATCGTTTCTACCATGGCGCAAGATGCGAATTTAAGGAAGAGTGTCTCGACGATACGGATTGCGGTACTCAGGGCACGTGCATCGACAATGGTGGTACGACCGCACCCACTAAACTCTGCTACTGTAACATCGGTTGGTTTGGACCAGGTTGCGCAAAAAGTAAGTTCAACGGATAGAAAAATCATCCAGTCGACTAAAGAAATTTATTTTCAATAATAACAACGATCAAAATGTATCATCTATGAAAAACCCTTTGACCGTGTAAAAATAAAACTTTTCTTATTTTAAATTATCATAAAGATGAATTTAATAAGGGCATGAGACTTTTTTGAACTAGTTAATGATGTCTTGATTTTTGCACAAACCCACCCAGCTATACTGTAAGGTCTCTTATTATGCAATTTTAAAATTTTGCGGTTTGTAATTCATCCTAAAAATTTCTTGGACAGCATTAGAGCTCGGACACATATAAAGCTTACGTATAAACAGTCACCAAAAATCGTGGTACATTCAAAGTTCAATTCATTTGTTCCACTGACATATTTCATTAATGGACTACTTGTTGCTTCAAAAAAAATGGCACCATTTACAATGCAATGGTTTAAAGTGCAATTTGTTATTTAAGAGGAGTATCCTGAATTAGAATGTTCTATTGCAAAACAGTGTTTTTTGTGATTTTTTTTAGAAAGGAAAGTTATTGAATTTTGAGATAAGGTTTTATATATATTTAATGAATTCAATAAAAAATTTTTTTTAAATTAAAAAAAAACTATAACATATTTCTAAGCCTATTTCATGGAATTTTCAAAAATCATCTAAATAGATTCTAACTTTAGGAAAAATATTTATGTGTTAAGAAAACCTTTTTATTTAAATATATCATGTATGCAGATCACACACGTTAGAAGTGAAACCTTAAAAAAACCAAGCTTCGAGAGAATGAGAATAATGCACGGTATAAGAAGTAGACAAATTAAGGGTTTATTTATTATAATATTGTTAACACATTTAACAAAGAGCACTAATATGATCTCTGGGTGGGATAGGTAATAAAAACTACACTTTTCCAAATTGTATCAATTAAGAAAAAATGCCGAATGTGTGCGATAGCCACCCACATAACACGAAAGGTTTTGAAATCTTTCAGCGAAAGTTTTCGTAAAATATTTCCAAAAAATCTTTCAGAAACCTTGCAGGCATCATTCTAAAAAATTTTGAAAAAGATTCATAAAAGATTTTACAAAAATATTTTAAAAACATTTCTAAAATATTTTGCTGATAGAGTAATTAAAATGTTTAAAAATATTTCTATGAAACCTTGCAGAAACCTTGTAAAAAGATTTTATAAAAATATTTCAAGAAATTTTGTAAGAATATTATAAAAAATATGTCAAAAACATTTCAAACATATTTATAGAAACCTTTAAGGCTGGCGATACATGTAAACG